AATGAATGAATGAATGAATGAATGAATGAATGAATGAATATGCTCTGTAACAGCCAATGGGAAGTATACCTTGGAGAAACTGTATCTTGTGGTTCCTGCCTAGTGAGACATTGTTATGGACTCTCTCAAAAGTCAGCAATATTTATATACATCCCTTAATTCAGTCCACTGTTCAAATCTTAAACGACATGGAGAAATCTGTTCTCTTCCCCACATGATCTTCCTACAGAAAACAGCAGAATGTATGGCCCTGCAATGAAATGTTGCAGAGGAGATTATTTCTGGCCAAGCTATCTCTTCTGTTAGTTTTTCATAGTTTTAGAATTCCCTGTCTATACCTAGTTTTCATTGAATTGCTTGCACTGTCTCCTCTACTTCCCTTTTTTCTCTTTCTCTCTCCATATATCATTGTTGAGGAATAGGTACATTGTCCAGTGTACTAACAGATGATCAAATTAATATGCTTGGTAATATATCAGATTAATTTCTCAAGGTGCAGTTACTGTGAATGGGATGTAATCTCCAGATAATTAGAAGGTTCTGTCTCCACATTTTGTTTCTATGTGTCTTTTCATCTGTCTTCTTTTAATAGCCAGCCCATTCATTTTAACTTTCCCAGTTCTTGAGGTTTCCCTCTCTTAGTCACCGTTCTATAGATGCTGACTATCGATGGTTCCCACTAAGGTGTATCAGGCTTTTTTGTCTCTTGGGATTTTTCTTTTACTTTTGCAAAAATCCTCTACCCACAATACCTTGTTCTGATGAACTACCCTCAGACTAGGCATTTGGTCTGGAAGGCCTTCTAGAAAACAGTCCTGGTCATTTTCCTGCTATATTGCCCCCAGTCTACTGGTCTCAATGTCACTCTTCTCAATCTATCACCAGAACCTGATTTCACTCTGCCTCGTAACTGTGTTTTCCCTACATGTATTTATTGGTCACTTTTTTCTTGTTCGGAAAACAAGAAGAAGATTTCGGTGCTATTATTTACAGCAGTAGAACATATGGCCTGCAGATGTTGTTAGATTACCTTTTGCAGGGGCTTATGGAAAGGGTTGTAGGTTTTCTACCTCTTTGATTGAACACATCAAAATATTAGAGCGGCCAGAGCTGGGACGCAAGAACAAATGGAAGCAAGGAGATCCAGAAAACTGTAATTCTTTCTGCCACCTTGTGTGAGAGATGGTGAGGAGGCTGGGAAGGAAACAGGAGGAACTCTAAACATAATCCACAGATGGGAGAGGAGTTTGTTAGCAGTTTATATCTACACAAGTCGAGGTGGCAGCCATGATGATGAGACTGAAGTGACTGCATTAAAAACAGGTGGAGTTTCAATCATACTGTTGTGGCCAGCATCTAGACATTTTTAGCACACCCTGCAGAAACCCCCACATATCTACAGTTCATACCAGCTTGCAAGAAGCCCTGGGGGAAGAGATTCAAATTGTTCAAGGAGACTTCATCTTAAAGAGCACAATAATTTATTTATTATTTTCCCCAAACTAGAGACTCAAAATAGCTAAATAGAAGAGATCTGGAGTGACTCCTGTAGTTTCCAGGATGAATACTTTACCTTTAATTCTTATATGAAAACTCCTTTTTGAGGTCTGTGTGATTCTTGCTTCCTTGGTTGTGATCTGTGGTTTGGCTCATGGTCTTCTGGATCTTTGTAGCCCCAATCTGGTAGTCCTAAAAATAGAGAAAAAGAAGAGAAGAGAGTATTCTGGTTCGACATCATTTTGTGATTAAAATGTACAATAAATCTTGTTCAGCTCCTTTTTCAGGAGAACAACCCTGGAATAAAATATGAATACACTGTCCGCAAAGACTCAAACTTGGAGAATGAAGTGGAGGAGCCTGAATACTTTTGGAAATATGGAAGCTGGACAAGTTGTAGTGTAACTTGTGGCAATGGTAAGAAATCACGATGCTCCAAGTTCCTTTCCTCTCTCTTGTCAGCTGCTTTGGTCTCACCATTCAGTATTCTAACAATATACTGACCAGGGTATAATTAAATTGCTCTAGAACTGGCAAATAGTGTGTTATTAATACCTAATTTACATGCTCTTTGAAAGGCCATCAATAAAATCAGCATACAGAAAGCTACACTGTGTGTCTACTAAATTTATTTATCTTAACTAATAATCTATTAGTTAAACTTCAGGAAAACAATGGTATTTTTCCTACTGCAGGAGATAAAAGCAGCTTTTGTTTTGCCCTATTTTAATACAGATATCGCACTGTAAAAATCAGCAATCTTTTCACATTTTTTTTTAAAAATAAGGGTAGAAAGCATTTATATTAGCTCTGTTCAAGCTAATAATAACTGATGAAGTAATTGCTGGAGGTGACTTCTAGCTGCCTCTGTGGAGTGAATAAGGTAGAAAGAGAATTTCACTCTTGTCAGAAACTGAAAGTATGTAGTGAGCAGAGGGGACCTCAGCCAGCATCAAGCCTTCATGCATTACTGACAGACTAGCTACCGGGTACTTGGGTTGGAAGGTCAAAATGAACAGACCTCCCTGCCCAGAAGCATATATGCACAAATCTGTTTGTAAAATAAAAGCCAGCTTATTTTGAAGCCTGGCAAGCTACCTGTGCTTGATCTCTTGTCATTCAAGAAGAGGCTAACATCCCTCACTTGCTGCCCATGGTAACTGAGATGCCCTCCTTGATGCTGCTGGTTAATTTCTGGTAATTATCCTTTCTTCTTGATTAATTCTTATTACCAACTTACTTCACCATTTACATCTGTACAAAACAGTTCCTATGTACTGGTCTAGTTTGAACTGAACGGAGGGAAGAAGGAAGTGTTTGTAAGCACAGAGATTATCAATCTAATCAACAGGAGGCATGTTAGATAGAGACGTGTGAAGTAAATACTTTAGATAAGAAAGGAGATAAAAGCGCCTCTACTATTTATATCTATTGCCCCTAGTTTACAAGTGCAGAAAACTGGTTCATGTAAAGTTGAATTCCAACAGGGTCAATCTGGGTTTGCCTAACCTGATGACCCTGAGATGAGTTGGACTTTGGTTCCTATATTTTCCCAGTCTGCATGGTTATTGGGGGATTTTGAGGAACTAAAGTCCCACACATCTAAAAGGCAACCTATTTATTTTCTTCTGTTTCCTCTCATCTTTTCATTTCTCTTTCCATTTCTTCTTGAGCTTCTTCAAGATCTTCCCTAGTGATCCTTTAGTACTGGCAGCTTCTCCTTTCTTTTTGAATTAAAAATCCATTATGTGGATGGCACAAGGCCATATCAGGAGTAGAAAGAATTTTTTAGCTGGAATGCTAAATGACAATGTTAACTACCATTACAGTTCCTTAAAAAACTCTAGGACACACAGACACACTCTGCAATGATATAAGTGAAGTCCACTGGAGCTGGGCAGCCAATGAATTTAAATAAATAAATAAATAAATAAATAAATAAATAAATAAATAAATAAATTTAAAAACTGGCAGATGCTTGGTGCGGGCATTTGGTGTTAATGGCAAGCAGGATGCCCTCCTGAAAATCTGTTTACTCAGCCATTTCATTTAAAAACTGGCAGATGCTTGGTGCGGGCATTTGGTGTTAATGGCAAGCAGGATGCCCTCCTGAAAATCTGTTTACTCAGCCATTTCATTTAAAAACTGGCAGATGCTTGGTGCGGGCATTTGGTGTTAATGGCAAGCAGGATGCCCTCCTGAAAATCTGTGTACTCAGCCATTTCCCAGCAGTGCTAACCCCTAATATGAGCTACTGCTACACACAAATATGTCTACCTTCTTAAAGATAGTCTAAAGTTAGAAGTTTTACATTTTTTATTTTTTTTCTTGTAGGGTTTCAACGACAGATTGCCCACTGTATGAAAAAGGGGAAGAGTGTGGTGAAAAATCTGTTTTGTGACCCAGAAACACAGCCTACGGCAAAACAAAAAAAATGCATTGAAAAAGATTGTCCACAAAGGTACGCATGCATATAATACAGAGGAAGGTATTTTAAGATAATGATGACAAATCAACTATAATCTTTCTCGGAAAAAAAATTGTTCCATCCCAGGCCATATAAGATTGCAGAAAAATCACTATCCAAATTAAAGAAAAATTAAATTGTGTGAGAGATCAGTAATAATATGAGAATGGGTTAGCAAAGTGAATTACACAATGTTTTATCCAGCATCCCTTATTCCAACTTTTTGTCAGCTTTTGGCTAAGTCAACAATTTTCTCAGGTAATGATCCAGAATCTGCATTCATTCTGACAATAATGAACTAAAGCTTTCAGAAACCAGCAGGAGCAGTAGTAAAAGGTGAGGGGCAGTTGTGTCTGCAGGGAGCGGCTCCAAAAAGTTGAGAAGAGGCAGTTTCAACTGTGCAGTTGAAGTCCCACCCCACTGTATATGCACGTGACATTGACACACATACGAAAGGGATGGGCTTTGATTGCTCTACGCAACTGCCATGTTGATTTTTTTTACCCCCCATGGATGCCACTGGTGATAGATGATGTACTTTAATAACATCATGTTTTATATCCTCACTAATTCTCTCAGTTCTGCCTCTGTAATGTGGCTTATCTTAGGAAGTTGTTATAAGGGAGGTGGATCTCCAAAGCACCATCTATAAAACTCTCTAAATTAAATTGTA